GCAGTATCACTATGGAAGTAGGATTGCCCAACCTTCCTTCCGAGGAGTGGCTGGTGGGTTTGAACCACCTGCCTTCTGGTTAGCAGTTAAGTGCCTTAGGCACGATGCTATCAGAGCTGGTTAGGAGGCTAGGAGCACGAATTCAGAGTTCTGGCTCCAGCGGCTGGGTCAAGTTCTCTTGACTGGGAGCTTCAGCTCTGCCTCTTATCCCAGGCCTTCTGGAGCGGCAGGCATCGCGTATCTCAGGCAGCTGGTGGCTGCTGAGGCTGACAAACCCAAAGTCAGCAGGTCAAATGGCACAGTCCCAGAATCAACAGGCAACATGGCAGACCACTGGTTAAAGTCCAGGATCAATTTCAAGATTGGCAGGCAGGCAACATTGGTAGGCCTCCAGATGAAGACTCAGCCAAATTCAGGATCCAAATGCATCACAGCACTAGAGACCTTTCCAAAAGCTTCTCATTATGTACTGGAAGCAGGCCATACCCTGAAGGGAGCTCCCTTTCTATTAATTAATGTCTCACAGCAGATTCCACCAGGGAGGTGATTACAATCGCATCATGGGAAATAACGACATCCAGCTGCCCAGCTATTCAGAAACACCACCCAGCCATGTTGACACATAACCTTACCTACCACACCTCTCTTCTGATTCTGGATTATTTTCTTCAGAGAGCTTATCAGTCCTTGGCGTTATGCTTTATGCTTTCATTTATTCGTGTGTGTGTGTGTGTGTGTGTGTGTGTTTGTCTCTTCGGTCATAAGCAAGTTTCAGGAGGACAGGCAATTTAACCCTGCTCATCTTTTGTCTCTCTCCTGGGGCTAACACTATGCCTAGAGCACAATAGACTCTTAATAAATATTTATTAAATAACGTAAAAAAGTAATTGGAAGGAGTTTTAAGATGAGAAGAATTTGTACATTCTGGGCCAGGTTAATAAAAATCAAAATAAATCACTTAATATTTAAAAATGAAAATCATAAATCACCATCAATAGTTATTTTAATTTTCTTTTTATATTGGTCTCAATAGTCAAAATGTGAATCATAATTGGGAAGAGTCTAATAATACAATAGAACATTTAAGAAAAATGTATATGTCTTAGTTATCTAGTCCTGCCATAACAAAATATACCACGAGGGGGTGGCTGTAAAGTACAGAAATTTATGTTCTCTCAATTCAGAAAACTACAAGTCTGAATCCAGGCTGTGGCTCTAGGGGGAGGTCCTTCTCTGTCTAATGCAACTTCTAGAAACTGGCAATCTTTAGAGTTCCTGGGTTTGGAGATACTGTATGTGTCTGTCTTCAGATGATGTGTTTCTCTGAGTATACCTGTGACTATGTTGCTCTTTTTATAAGTGATTAGGTTTTAGGGCCCAGCCTACTCTGATGTTATCTCATTAATGTAACAAAATAAAGCCCCAAACAAGGTCATATTTACAAGTACCAGGGTTTGCATTTCCATATGTATTTTGGGGGACACACAATTCAGTCCAAAACAGGCCACATTTGACTTTAAACTCCCATTTTTTTAGATTTATGTTTAAAACTATTGTGGATTTTGTCTTCTCCATGTAAAATTGATCCAAATGATTTAGTTAAACTGAGAGTACTCTCAGAATATATAAGGACAAAGAAACAAAAAATTTAAATCTATTTGGGAAAAAAAAATTTTGAAAGGCATTTGGAGAATAAATAAGTATAAATAAATTATCAACTACTTATGCCTTCTTACTCAATGTTTGGGAGCTCTAGTAGCATAGCACCTAAGGCATTTGACTGCTAATCAGAAGGCTGGAAGTTCAAACCCACCAGCCACTCTTTGGAAGGAAGGTTGAGCAATCTACTTCCATAGTGATACTGCCT